TTTCTCAATCGTTCTTGCTCGATTTTCTTCCAGTGTATTGTAAAGACGAGTCGAGTGATCGCGATCTACTTGTTGAGAAATTAAGAAAATTTGTAGAAGAAAGAAAAATAAATTAAATTTTCGAATAAAACCAGAATGAAAAGATGAAAAATATTTAAATCTCTCGAAGCGGTAAGTAGAAATTTCTACGAATTATTATAAAAAAANAATTTGGAGAGGATTTTCAAAATATTTAATTTAAAATAAATACTTATTTTATCCCTTTTCAATTGAATAAGTTAAAAAAAATAACAATTATAAGAATATTTTAAAATATTCTATAAATCAACACTTCTTAACCTTATTTACTTTCACAATATTTCTTTCAATGCATTGAAATGCAATTCGGGTGACCGCGATCTACTAGTTGAGAAAAACTGGAAAGATTTTGAAATGTTTTTATAAATTACATAAAAAATTTTTTTACGAATTTATACAAAGAGAGAAGTTTCCTTTTACTATTTTTTTTCTATTTTAGTACTTTTTAAAGTTATATTTATGGTGACTGTTGAAACATTTTCTCGAACTAGAATATTTGATCAGGTACAAGACTAGAAAATCAAATCTCAGTCAAACATCCGTATTCTACAACACAGTTTATATTTTTATATATACTGTTGCCTTGGTGCTTTGCCTGTAAACTAAATAAAAACGTTATTTAATTTATAATTATTTAATTTACTTTGAAGTTACCTTTAATAAATCATTGGAGGAGAAACGTAATAAACCATAACACTAATTAAAAAATTAATAAATTAATAAATATTCTTATTGTCATAAATTAATATAAAATTAATGAGAATAATTTCAATTTTCAATTAAAATAATAACGACGTATTTATTTATAGAATAAATAATGTCTTGTTCTCGAATTTTTTTTATGTTGAAAATAAATAAATAAATAAATAATATTATTGTATAATTGATATGTACTTATTTTTCAACTAAATAAATATATTATATAAGATGTAGTTGGAAGAATTGTGTTTAATATCCAAATGGGTTCGAACCCACGACTTTCACGAACTACGTAAGGTGTAGTAGGAAGAAACGTGTTTAATAATCAAAGGGAATCCGAACCCACGACTTTCAACAATACAAGGCTATCGATCCGCTTTTAATCGCTATTTAAATTACAAAAACGTGTTTATATTCCTTAATTTTATAAAATCATTCATTATATAAACAGTTCGAACTCGTTGTTTGATTTTAATAAAATCATTATTTTCATAAATGAAAAAGGAGAAAAATTTAAATTCTTGTAAAATTTTTTAAATAATTTTAATTAATTATTAAAGTTTTTAATAGATAGGCGGATCATTATTGAAATACCCTTAATAGGGAATGCATAATATTAACCTATATTAGATCCATTATCTTCATCATCTATTATATATACAACTTTTTAACATTATAAAGTACATAATTAAGCAATTATGCTGTTATATTCAATTTNTCCTTAATTTTATAAAATCATTCATTATATAAACAGTTCGAACTCGTTGTTTGATTTTAATAAAATCATTATTTTCATAAATGAAAAAGGAGAAAAATTTAAATTCTTAGTTGTATACAGTGATTGTAGTTGCGCAGAAAATAAGGTAAATATTTTTTAAAATTTAGAAAAATTATAAATAATTTCAAACTGGAAAACACATTTTTTTAAAATAACGGTAAAAGAAATTCAATGTTGGATCTTCTATGGATCTTTAGGATTTTTACGAATAGTTTTAAGATAAATTTACTGTTGTGGGTGTGCAGTAACCCATTGTAAGTTTCAGGATCTCCTAAGTGTTTTCTGAATCTTCCAGATTTATGATTTTACTGAAATCACAGTTTTTTCCTGAAGCAAAAAAGCAGAGGTTTTCAAGAATCCTTCGTTTGATCTTTATCGTAACGCAACTCGTCACCATATCGGAAGACGTCACGGAGTGTTGTCCTTAGTTTATATATCACGGCATATAAAAAATATCCTCCACCATAACATTTTGATAAAGTGTATATATATATTATTGAATTTAGAATCCAACATTCTAAGTGTTTTTTTGGATTTCTTTCTGTGACTTTTAAAAGAAACTTGTAAATTAATGTTTAGATAATAAAAATTGCAGAAATTTAACACAAATTTACTACACTAAATTTAAATAATTCCACAGAAATGAAGCAACAGACTGATATTACGTGAGAAAAATGTAAATGGGCCCGTCCTTAGAACTCTAGATTATATATAAATATTTCTAAATTTGGTTTATAAATGTCAAATTTAAAATTTTTTAAATTTACATCACTAAATGCTAATTTGGAATTTGGAGAGGATTTTCAAAATATTTAATTTAAAATTCATAAATTTATAATGTATCAAATTAATATTTAATTTATAAGGAATAAAATTATAAAAACTGAAAGGCACTAAGTAAATAATTTGCATAATGTATCCAAATACGTATTATATATATATATGCAAGATAACCCAAAAGTCTATTAGCCATTTTAAAGAGTAAATTACAAGTTGTTAACTCAGTTAGCAATTTGTGTTCATTTGTTAAAGCACGGATAACTGATTTTCGGGCCAACGTTTATAGGGCAATTATATTAAAATGAATCGAAAGGAAAACATTTTAAAATTACAATTTGAGTGGAAGATAAATTTTTCTTTTATTGACATGTTTCTGACAGTTTTTATCGCTGGAAATCGACTGCTGCATTCTATCATTTCATATAGTATCTGTTATATAACAGATTGTAGATAAAATACCGTTGCAAGAGCCATTTATAGCCAACCTATCAATAGACATGAAATAAAATCTCGAAAAGAATGACTTAAGCTTATCAGTAGCCAATGAAGAGTGACATTTAATAGTATAGTAATGGAAGTTACGAAGGAAGAATATAAAATAATTATTAATGAAATATTACTCTTAACAACTTAAATTATCTTGAATTATGGATTCTAGAGTAAAGAATTGATTTTTTTTAAAAATATATAGATCAAATCTCCTCAAGTTGGACACGTCTCTGTCTTGGATTTTGGACTCTTCCAATTTAGATTCTGCTTGAATTCTAGAATTTAGAATATTTAATATAATAAAAAATAATAAATACTAGCGCTGTTATTTACGTTTACTCCTGGTAAAAAAGACAAAATAAAGTATTTTAAAAGGTCATCATCATATGTATATATGTCATTAAATGCAATTGAAAATTATAGACAAATTTATACATATAAGTTAGATACTAGTGGTCCTACTGTGTTTAAAGTTTCTAATATACAGACTAGTCCCAGACTAAGGGGAAGAGGAAAACAAAATGTAAATCATCTTCTTTAAGTAGTTTCTCCCACTCTATATAATATTATTTCTAAATTTGAATCACTTCTTAAGAAGGACAGGATAAGATTGATAGAAGAAGGCACGAACGATCTACCAAGGAAAGATGCCTTCCGGGATGACTTTACATGAAAAACTGGTCCTATTTAGGTGTTAAACACGTGAATAAAACACGTGGTCAACCCGTTGGTGAGGCGCGAACCCACGACAACTACCAGTGTTCAGTGGATAAAACCACTGAACATTGGAATTTAAGAAGCACTTCCAACTTAGAAGGATTTACTGTATATACACAATAATAGATTTTTTTATTTCAATATTTAAAACGTATTTTAGAATTTCAAGAAAAAAATTCTATCTAAATTCCCATTTAAATTATTGAATTCGACACTCCCACGTTACAATTACACAATTTAAAATATTCAAATAAAAATAACTTACAGACTAGCACTTCAAACTTTATATTGTATTTTAAAATTGTTGACAGAAGTATTCTTTAAATTGAATGCAAAGTAAAGATTATATACACTTATGTTCGTGTCTAATTTTAGAACATGACATGATTAATTAATAGTTGCGTGTATTGCAACAGCTGACAATGTAGCTGGACAGTTCAATTGATAAAGTTTAACGCTTTATATGCGAGCGCTTAATCAAACAACGATATTTTCTAACCTAAAGCAATATTCTTTGGCAATTGCTAAAGCAAGAGAATAAGGGAAAGATTAATCTCTATAGAAAGACTACTCATCAGTAAATGAGGCATTTATTTTGTCTTTTGACTTCTGAACAAGAAGATAAGAAACATAAATGGATCTCTTGGGATCTTCTTCTTTTTTCTTATTTTTATTGTTCGTATTGGAAATATTTAGATAAATCTTTCCTCCAGTTTCATTATTTTTATTTAAGAAAAAAGAAATACATTCTAAATATATTTTGAAAGTAAAACACAAAAACTTAGAAGTCTACTGTACTAAAGACACTTATGAATACAGCATGGTATATGTCATAAGGCAATGATTTCCGCAGGAACAGGAAGTAAGCATCGAACAGACAAGGTTTCGTACAGGAAATGGCATCGTCGTGTCATCTTTCTGTCCGAAAAGGGATCTTTTCCTTCAAGGGTGACAGGAAATGACGTCATTATTGCCAATTGAAGTATCGTCCGAAAGAGATATTCAGAACAAGCAGAAATAAGGCGATTTTCCAGATAAAAGTCATTTTATAAAATGAAACTAAAGTGATGACTCGTTCAACTTTTAAGATTTATTAACTTCCATTAATGTAAATTTTCGTTATTATGTAGATTTTTAAGTATATTTATCCTATACAATTAATAATCTTAAACTTCTTTCTCGTTTATTTTAATGAGCAGGAAGATAATTTTAAAAGTTGTACAGGTCTTTAAAAAAGATCTCGACGAAAGAAATTGTTATTGTTATCTCATTAAGAGTTAAACGAACTAAATANTATGTGCATTAAATGGAGTTTCTGACGACTTAAAATTTGTATAATTTTATTGTATTTTAATAATAATATTAAAGCCGTACATTGATATCAATTAATAATTTATAATTTCAAATTATCTTCATCCATTTGTTGTAATATTAAATTAATTAAACTTTATAAACAAGATTTACATAGTATATCGCTAATTTCTGATCATTATTGAAATACCCTTAATAGGGAATGCATAATATTAACCTATATTAGATCCATTATCTTCATCATCTATTATATATACAACTTTTTAACATTATAAAGTACATAATTAAGCAATTATGCTGTTATATTCAATTTTACATACAATTCAACACCCTATTGTTAGCTATACAACAATGTAAGTAGTCATTATGCAGTGTAGATAGAGTTACTTTATACTGCGTATAGCTTAAATATAAAAGAAATTTTATGAATTTTTTTATGTTTCATAAACTCCCTGTTTTTTTAAGAAAACAGATGAAAATATTTTTATTTTCAATAATATTACCTGGTATAATATCTGGGCACTTCCCCTCTGCTTCAGCAACCATGACTGTAAGGTCTCTTCGGTCATCTGTATCTTGTCTCAAGGGTGTTGTAGACCTACAATGAAACACTATTCATTCGACATGCTGATAATAACACTATATATCTATCAAAATATTTTCAAACTATGCAAGAAAATGTGTTTACCTGCCTTACATTTAACTTATCTTATAACTTAAAGGCATGCAAATATCAGTTTACTGATACTGCATTTAACTGGTGGGAAAAACTATATTATTTTACGGAATTTTGGTTATATTTAAACATGAAATAAACTAAACTTTAATGTAGAATATCATAAATGATATACGTAATTATTTACGAAATTTAGAGATGGATAAAAAGCTATTTTTTGTAAGTACTTTATACTTATTTTTAAAAATTTACAAGGAAAAAACACTGCTAAAATATATTTTCTCTTACAGTAAATATAACAGAGTATAATAAATTACTTTTGAAAAAGTTTTATATGTGAAAGTCATTAATATTTTTTTTAAGAATTGCATAATGTTATAAACCTCCATCACATCTTTAAAGTATAAATAATTGAAATCTGTGGTGGAATTCATTTATTATTTTTTTTGTTAGTTTCTGTCCCAATAGCTGCAGTTGTAGTATCCATTTGTTCGTCTCTGACTCATTTTCTAATCCTCAAAAGAGGTATTCTCACGAAAAAGTAATGATTAATGGACTCTTCTTGTTAGGAAATCGTTTGTATTATCGTGCACGTTCAAAGAGGAATGGGATAGAAATGGTTTTAAACCTGTTTCTCTTCGAATAAATGTTCAATGGAGGTATACGCTTCATAAATTTGCTCTATAATGTCATTGTTGTGAACCTATGACCTGAACTTAGTTTCATCATAAATCCTTTAAGAATGCGGGGTTTATTTAGTTTGAAACACTATTACTAATACAAAAAGACAAGAAGCTATATTTGTCTATCCAGAACATTCTTCTATCATTAAAGGATATATTTATTTTATTTATTTGGTTCAAAATATAGGTAAAAAATATTAGTGTAAGAATTCACGCCTAAAGAAAAAATGTTTTATTTATATAATTATTATTTTTTCGATAAAATATTTATAATATAGTTTATATAAAGTAAAATGTTTATACTTATTTATATATAAAAACAAAAATAAATATACAGTCGACCCCCCTATAACACGGTAGATATGTTCCGTTCTTTATGAAATTGATGTTCTAAGAGTCCTTGAATACATGAGCCAATCACAGCCCGGCACGTATGCAGTTTAAGGACTACGGCTGNATAAGAATATTTTAAAATATCCTATAAATCAACACTTCTTAACCTTATTTACTTTCACAATATTTCTTTCAATGCATTGAAATGCAATTCGGGTGACCGCGATCTACTAGTTGAGAAAAACTGGAAAGATTTTGAAATGTTTTTATAAATTACATAAAAAATTTTTTTACGAATTTATACAAAGAGAGAAGTTTCCTTTTACTATTTTTTTTCTATTTTAGTACTTTTTAAAGTTATATTTATGGTGACTGTTGAAACATTTTCTCGAACTAGAATATTTGATCAGGTACAAGACTAGAAAATCAAATCTCAGTCAAACATCCGTATTCTACAACACAGTTTATATTTTTATATATACTGTTGCCTTGGTGCTTTGCCTGTAAACTAAATAAAAACGTTATTTAATTTATAATTATTTAATTTACTTTGAAGTTACCTTTAATAAATCATTGGAGGAGAAACGTAATAAACCATAACACTAATTAAAAAATTAATAAATTAATAAATATTCTTATTGTCATAAATTAATATAAAATTAATGAGAATAATTTCAATTTTCAATTAAAATAATAACGACGTATTTATTTATAGAATAAATAATGTCTTGTTCTCGAATTCTTTTTATGTTGAAAATAAATAAATAAATAAATAATATTATTGTATAATTGATATGTACTTATTTTTCAACTAAATAAATATATTATATAAGATGTAGTTGGAAGAATTGTGTTTAATATCCAAATGGGTTCGAACCCACGACTTTCACGAACTACGTAAGGTGTAGTAGGAAGAAACGTGTTTAATAATCAAAGGGAATCCGAACCCACGACTTTCAACAATACAAGGCTATCGATCCGCTTTTAATCGCTATTTAAATTACAAAAACGTGTTTATATTCCTTAATTTTATAAAATCATTCATTATATAAACAGTTCGAACTCGTTGTTTGATTTTAATAAAATCATTATTTTCATAAATGAAAAAGGAGAAAAATTTAAATTCTTAGTTGTATACAGTGATTGTAGTTGCGCAGAAAATAAGGTAAATATTTTTTTGTCATTCTATGAAACCGCACGAATATATTTACATATAAACAGAAGAATTTACTATTTTTTGCTTAAAGTTTTTCTGAGAATAAAGTTTAGTTGCAATTACAAATAATGCAGAAAATATTTTCATGAAATGTTAACTTGCTGAGAAAAAGTAATAGGAAAAATCACGTTATGATATGCTATAATTTAGCGAAAGCAGAATAACGAAATATTTGTATGATGTGATACGAATATTAATTTGTCAAATGATCTAGTTGTAATTCTGATTTCATTCGTTGATGCTCTTTTTTTTTTGTGTAGAGAGTGTTGATGCTCTGCAGTGAAATGGTTATCTAGGATAATACACTTTTCGTTGTTGCTCACGGAACGAGTTATTTTAAAAAAATTTTCCTAGCGTTGGCTACTCTGAAATGTACAGTACATGTTCGCATGTATTTTCTTTAGATCACATAAGGAAAAAATAGGTCAAGTAGAATTTACTCCAATGTAACTTATTGAAAAATTGAGTTACGTAGTTTTAGATTATGCAATGAAATTCGCGACGATGCACATGTTATGCATTATAAATACATTTTGAGATCTTTTATATAATAAAATCCAGATTCAGGAGATATTAAAATAATATTATATTCAATTTTAAATATATATTTAGAAGCATAATAAGATTAAATCAAGAATTTCTTAATTAATAACTGGAATTCACCCGCATCATTTTAAAGCGTTCTGCGCTACTCAAATGATGTTTACAACTGAAAAAACATCAAAAATATATTTTTAATTTCTTATAAAATCTCTAAAATTTGGATTATTTTCTTATATACTGTTTTTTTATTGAGCATAAAACGAATTTCTATATGTAACATGTTTCTAGTGCATATAAAATGCACTTCTTTATGTACATAGAGAAATGCATTACCCATATAAAACTGCAATAAGGAGCAATTTAATATATATTTATTTTTTATTATTAAAAAATGTATATTTTTGTAAAATATTTTCTAAACAAAACTATTAAAATATTAAATTTTGGTTTAGAATAATTCATAAATTTATAAAATAAAGTATATTTTTATATACACTTTTTATATAAAATATATTGTAAGTTATTATTTTTATTAANTTCCAGTTGTTAATCAATAAACAGCCAGTTGCACGCATGTTAGGGCCTATCTGTTCAACCCGTATTGACCTATACGCACTTTTCTCCGTGTACTTCCCCCCCTCGCATGGCCCAACTTCCTATAAGTCACAAGAAGGAACGTATCTGACAAGAAAATCTCTATTGTTTTCACTCATCGTTTACCACCCCCCGCTCCCCCCAAATCATTGGCAATGAAGAATGTTTATTCAGTCAAAGTGTACACACTAATGGCTGCCGTTGCACCATTCATTAATGTCATTCGTTCACTCACACTAAATATATTTAAGGTTAGAAAATCACTTTAATTTTTCATTCTGGGGTGTGCATTTTTTTTTTACCTGAAGTAATTTGAACTGTATCGCCGCCATCAATCATTCTATTCATAGAATGGCTCCACTTACCAATATCATTACCTATCGGACACAGTCTATTCACTCCATGCACATAAATTGAATTAGTTATATTTACATATGGGGTACACATCGCCCCAAGTGACTTGCAGCTACCATTTCTCATCTTAGATCGTGACCCGCCATCCTCTCTACCCCCCTCACCTGCACTTTTCGTAAAGGTACAGTACACTACGTTACGGGGTCGTGTGTTCGTGGCACAGACACACGTTACACCTTTGTTGTACGGGTTACACTCCGTGTTTTGACCGTTGTGAGCAAGCGCAAAGTGGGGAATTTTTTCGGGGGGTGATTTGGGGGTGAATTTTCAGGGGTCAGTACTAAAAATATTAATAAAATAGTTAAGTTTTTGGTCTGTGGTTGTATTCGGTTTGCTCTTTCACTTGATTTTCTGCAGAAGACACTCACTTTCACTTTGTTATTTATTCATTTATTATATTTTTAGAGAGGTCTAGGTTGTCCTTTTCTCTTGGTTTTTTCAAGAAAATTCTTCGCTTTCGCTTGTTTTTCGGGGAAGACACTCACTTTCATTTAGATTTTTTTGGAGAAAATACTGGTTTTTACTTGGGTTTTTTTTGATAAGATACTCGCTTTCAGTTAATGTTTTTGGAGAAGACACACGCTTTCACTTGTTTTTTCGAGAAGATACTCACTTTCACTTGTTTTTTTAAGAGGACACTCACTTTCAGTTAATGTTGTGGAGAAGACACTCGCTTTCACTTGAGTTTTTTGGAGAAGATCACACTCCTGCTCGAACTGAGCACTTAGAAAAACGATGCTTCTTGCTTTTGCGCGTTTTTTTAGAGAATATGTCCACGCTTTTACTTAGTTTTCTAGGGAAAAAGGTCTATGCTTCACGTTTTAATTTTGTTTTTTAGAATAGTCCACGTCGATTGAGTTTTTAAAGAAAACTCTACATTCCCTCTTTCTTTCACTTGGCTTTTTGGAGAAGACACTTTCACTCGAAGTATACACTCACTTTCACATGTTTTTTTTAGAGAAAACACTCGCTTTCACCTGTTGTTTTTTTTTTCTGTAGAAGACACTCGCTCTCACTTAATATTTTTATAAGAAACTATGCTTCTCGCTTTAATTTAAGGGATTTTTTAAAAGAGAAACGTATGGATTCGCTTTCACTTGCTTTTAGAAGACTATAATCGAGGTTTCACTTTCATTCTTATAAAATCTACGTCCCTAGCATATAACAGGCAGCATCGCACGGCTCCTAAAAAACCAATTGAGTAACCAATTACACCAACTTTTGCATCCGAAAAATCACAAAAAAAAAATTTTTTTTTGAGATTTTTTGAATCTCAAAAAATTCTTTTCTTGATTTTTCGGGTGTTTTTTTTAATGATTTTTGTAAAAAAATTAATTTAGACTTCAAAAAACCGATTCAAATATTGGTTTCCTACCCACAGGATCGGCGCAAAAAATACGAGAAAGAAAAATTAATACAAAGTAAATAAATAAAAACAAAGAAGATAACGAAAAAAAATTGAAAATATTCACGCAATAAATGAAGGAGAAAGTAAGAGAAATTTCAATTTCTTGGATCCATTATAGGAAAGTGAAAGGTTTGGGTGTTATCTACATTGATTATTGCAATATCCTGTAAATGTCTTTTATTTCGTGTGTAGTAATCTTGTTTGCTAAATAGTAGACCGTTTGGAATGACGATAAGATAGATAGGTTGCTAGTCTCTGAATGACATTTCATTTTAAAGCACGAACGTCCACGTCATCGCATGAATACCACTAATGGATGCGCCACCGTCTACTGCACTTCGTTCCCCCCGAAAAAAATTTACAGAAAAATAAGCGGTTATTTTTATTATTATTTTATACTTTTTCATTTTTAACCTCTGAACAATGGCCTCTGATGATAACCAAAAAATGGCCGTTGTTTACAGGTTATTTTGTATGCACTTTTGTTGAAAAAAATTCTTGAAAAAGTGGCAGCTATTTGAAGGGAGTCGTTGTTTGGAGGTTATGATATTAATGCATTTTTTTGATCGAGGAAAAAAAATTCCTAAAAAATGGCTGCTGTTGGAGGTTCGACTGTATTTTATTATATTGTAGCAGATAAATATTTAACTTACAAAACTTTTTCTGAGAAGATAATACAAATTCTTTCAATTCGAAAAATTGCAATTTAATAAAGTTAATATAAATAATCAGTATATTTTGTTTAGAAAAATCTATACCCAAAACAGTAAACGGATGTAAGGAAGAATTAAGGATGAAAGATTGAAGCCTTAAATTCGTTTTAATATTATTGATTTTAGCTTATTTTTTGACATGATAAAAGTATCGAGATTGGATATTGAGAAAATGGAATTTTATTTGATAGAAAGTTGGAGAAAGTATTATTGAAGGAAAAATTAAATCTTCAATATTTAAAAGTAAACAGCAAAAGCTGGAAGCCATTAGAATTATCTTAAGTATATTTTTGCGAATAAAACTTTAAATAGTTAATTAAATTATATTAATTAATTTTTAATTATTAATTAGCATATAATATTTAAAATACTGAAAAATAAATTTAAAAAAATCAGTTTAAAAATGGACCTGACGACTTTAAGATAGTTTTTAGTAAACTTTTTAAATTAAATTAAATTTTATGCGGTTATCATGCGAATATTATAATTCTAATTATATTAAATTAATTATTTATATAAGCATTAACAGATACATAATTATCTTATAAGTCATTCCCCTCCGTTAGGTCTAAGCACTTTTCATTTGATACGCAAGATATTCTAGGAAAAATTACAAAAATAAAAGGTAAATATTTTTTTGTCATTCTATGAAACCGCACGAATATATTTACATATAAACAGAAGAATTTACTATTTTTTGCTTAAAGTTTTTCTGAGAATAAAGTTTAGTTGCAATTACAAATAATGCAGAAAATATTTTCATGAAATGTTAACTTGCTGAGAAAAAGTAATAGGAAAAATCACGTTATGATATGCTATAATTTAGCGAAAGCAGAATAACGAAATATTTGTATGATGTGATACGAATATTAATTTGTCAAATGATCTAGTTGTAATTCTGATTTCATTCGTTGATGCTCTTTTTTTTTGTGTAGAGAGTGTTGATGCTCTGCAGTGAAATGGTTATCTAGGATAATACACTTTTCGTTGTTGCTCTTTGATATTGCTCAATGATAAAACTTAATGAGATTTCCCCTTTTTTATTTTGTTTAAATTTGTAAAATGTTTAGTTTATCTATAACTTAAATGTTTTTCTGAATTTTCTATAAATTTTCATTTAAATTATATATTAACATTCTTTTTTTCCCTTCCCTTCTCTCTCTCTCTGATGATTTTTAAGTTTAAATTAACAGAGTTAAATAACTAAATAATTAAGATTCTAATTTTAAGCATATATATTATGTTTAATTTATGTTATAAGTCTTAATTAACGCTTAAAATATTAAATATTTTTTGTAAAAAAATAAATATAAACTTACTTGTCTACACCATGCTTTTGATGATCTGTAAAATGTTAATAAAATAAACGTAACTAATTAAAAATTTTTAAAAATACTTTAAAACATTAATTAGCATATTGTAATTAACATATAATTTTTAATTTAATTAAGAGTTATGTATTTGTTTGCTTCAGCAAATAATCAGCAAATATGATTACACTTTCATTGTTTAATTCATTATATAAATAAAAATTTTATAATCTTATTAAAATATGCTGTGCAGTTTAAAAAATTATATAAAAATATTTAAACATTACTTATTAACACCATTGTAATTGTATTATACATTACTTAAACAGTAGAATTTTTTAATTAAATAATTAAAAATATATATATTTTTAATTAATTAATTATTTAAAACCAATATTAAAAAGTATTTAATTATTAAGTATGTTTATTTATATATTTATTGATTTTTAACAGTAAAAGTTTATAAAAATATAAATAAATGTAAAGTATAGTTTATTATATTTAAAGATATATTTTATAAGTATATTTAAGTAATAATACTACAGAAGAAATATAACTAAACAATAAATCTAAGTTAATTAAGTGTGTTCTCATTATTTTAACATTACTTTTATTATTAGAAAGAATACATATTTTTTATTTTTTCAGGATAAAAAAGAATTTTTATCAGCTTCTAATGCGAAAATCTTTATTGTTTTGCAAAGTATTCAGCATTATGAATCATTGTGTTTGGCTGTTTATTTTCCATATTTCAGAGATTTGCAATTAAATACATGTTTAAAATATACAAAAAAAACTTTCATAAATCTAAAATAATCCATCTAAAGC